TTGGAACGCAGTCTGCGGAGTGAGCAGGCTCGTACTTCAGGCTTCGGTACCTCGCTGCCAGAGCCTCAGCGAAGAACATCCACCTGCGCGGCTCAGACGGCCTCGCCAACAGCCGCCTCCCAAAGACCAATCACCCAAACTCCAGTGCGGCCAAGTGCGCTACCCCATCGTGCTGGTGAAGCGCCGGTGTCGGTGGTCGAGTATCACGGCCGAGTGAACTGGTACCTCATCGTCCGCCACCGCGATCGTCGGGATCTTGAAGGCTTGGTGCGAGCACGATGGCGTCAGATCGAGGCCACTCTGCGAGGAGGGCGATTAGAGGGAAGCGGAGTCCACTTGAGGAAAGTGCAGGGGGAGACGCAGGCTCGCGAGCTCTGGCAGAGAGCCCATCCGGACCGGGAGCTCCCCATCATTCATCTATGAGGGGCGAAGAACAGCCAGGGCCATCCGTGGTAGAAGTGGTTTCTCAAGCGGTGGACGCGGTGGGAGACAAGGAGTTGGGATCAGGCATGACCCTACCTCAGGTCCTTCAGGACCCCGTGCTTCGAGCACAGGCGGCTCGATGGAGATCGGGCCCTGAGCAGAGAAAGATTGCAGCAATTTTAGCCCGAGCATATCAAAGCCTTCGCAGCGTGGTCCCATCCTGGCCGAGCAATACCACGGCCACGGCAGAGCCGCCGGCGGTTGCGCCACGATCCTTCCGTGCTCGAGCGACTGCGCCCGCACATCCACCAGCTGGTGGACCGAGTGCTGGCGCATCGGTGTGGGGCTGGAGTGCAATGAAATGGTGGACACTTGCAGGGATCTTGGTCTTGCTCATCTTTCCTCGGGTTATTGCGGTGCTGTTGGGCCTGCTTTGCAGGCTGATCCTCCGGGCTTTGGCCACTCTGGCAGGACGAGTGGTCAAAGAGTTGGTGACGCACGCATGCCTCCTCGCAGCAGAAACGGAGCAAACAGTGGTGGAGTTTTTGGAGCATCACTTCGAGGTCTGGTGGGTGTCCTCGTCTTCCAGTTCCCACTTCACCGGCGCTCCCGCTGCCGCCACGACCAGCGCACCCATGCTCCCTACGCAGCCTCAGCTTCCTTCGCCAGCTGGGCCGCCTCAGACTCGAGTAATCGATGTGGCCACTTTTGGGCTCCTACTGATGCAGTACCTGCGTCCCCTGCGGATGGGGGGGGTGGGGGTTCAGCATCAAGGTTGACGCTGGACGAGCACGTCTTGCAACAGTACCGAGATGCATTCCTCCCGGCCTCGCGAGATTACATGTTCACTCATCTTTTCATTTGAGAGGTTGCTCTGCCGAGGGTTTGAAGCCTTAGCTCGTCCGCACCTGTTTCTCAATCCTCACGATTGGCGCCGCCATGTCAAAAAGGAATGTGAGGCGCACTGCAGTGGAACGCCCTTGAGTGCTGATCATGGAATTAAGCCCAATTCCAGAGCCAACGTCCGAGGTACCGAATCAGCATCCTGTGCAGTTCAGCTTCCTCGGCAAGGTTCGTTCCGCACCTTAAGGTTCAAGTGCTCCGCCACCGCCCCAACCACCACCTGGGTTCAGCATCAAGGTTGACGCTGGACGAGCACGTCTTGCAACAGTACCGAGATGCATTCCTCCCGGCCTCGCGAGATTACATGTTCACTCATCTTTTCATTTGAGAGGTTGCTCTGCCGAGGGTTTGAAGCCTTAGCTCGTCCGCACCTGTTTCTCAATCCTCACGATTGGCGCCGCCATGTCAAAAAGGAACGTGAGGCGCACTGCAGTGGAACGCCCTTGAGTGCTGATCATGGAATTTAGGTTTCAGGATTTAGGGTTTAGGATTTCGGAGTTTAGAGTGTACGGTTTTGGGGGGAAGAGGAGTTTTTGTTCGTAGGGCATGGCAGTGCTGCGTAGTAGGTTTTCCGTGGTGTGTCAGAAGTTTTTCGGATTCTACAAGGTTTTTTGTAGGTTTCATGGTTCTTTCTGTGTTTTGGAAGGGCTTCATAAATGTTCCATGAATATTCCATGCTATACAGGTTGCTACTGTCTGGCTTCTGACGGCGCTTTCGTGAGTAGGGGATGTGGGTGGTTTTTGCTGTTGACGGGTGTTTTTGGGTGTTCATCGCGGCGCGTTGATTCGGGCTTTGGTGTTTGACATGCGACGATGCAATGGCTGGCTATCGCCAGCCGGAAGAGCTGAAGTTGTCAAGAAAGTTGCTCGAGAAAGCCCGCGTTCTGATGCCGAAAGGTGTAAAGGCCCACCTGTCCCGGCCTGACACCAGGTCTGTGGACCAGAACTGCGACAACTACCAAGTGAAGATGCTGAAACTGGCCCCGTACCACTAAAACCTATTTCAGTGGGCGGGACCGCGCCGCTGCAATGTTTGGAGGGTTGAAGGGGGGGTCTTACAATCGTGGGAACGGATTATCTGAGAAACATATGTGGGGAACCTGTGGAGCCCCGAACTGCCCCATTATGCCATGGACATGAATTGTATGAGAGGAACTTGGAAAACACGTTGTCTTCCTGATGGAGCCATACTTGTGTTGGCAGTACTTCCAAGACCAAATTCCATGAATACATGCCTAAAAACAGGCCCCTCGATTCCCTAAACCCTGAACACTAAACCGTTTGAGGCTGATTCACCTCAAGCAAGCGGTTGAGTTGGACAGCGTCTGCTTCTTAGGGTGCTTCTTCGGGTGTAGGGCTTCGTTCTGGAGGTCGGTTTCGGATTTTGTATTTAGGGTTTAGGGGTTTCGGCTTTAGAGTTGTTCATGGTTTCGTTATATGCAACGCTTCGGTTTGCTGCCAGGGCTTGTTCGCCGGTCGAAGGTTTGAAGGCCCATTGATCGTAGGAGTGAACACACTTTGTAGTAGAGGGAGCTAACTTTGACCTTCCAGGGGTACTGAAATCCACGTATAATCCCAAAGGTTAACCTCGAGTTCCCTTGTAAATTGTTGTTGACAGTTCACCTTCGACACAACCAGCCCTTCGTCGGCCGAGTTCTCCTTCGGAAGTGCATAGTGGCCTTCCCTTTCTTGGGAAGTACTTGAAGTAATTTTGGCTGTTTCTAGATAGTTCAAGTGGCTCGTGCGACAGAGTGAGATAAGGATCCCCTCCCATTTCTTGACAAGCATTGTGCGATCCCAGCTTCCAGTAACGCCCCGGCAGGTCAACAAGCGTGTATCTGTTGGAAAGAGCCGCAATGGGGATCCTTCTGTGTTTCCATAAAGAGTGTATAAACAGGAAGGCCAAGACTGGTAGCACATCGACCACAGGCCGATGAGTGGTTGATGGATTATGGTAAACCCTAACCTCCAAAAAACCCAACCGAACTCACACGAAAGACCGGTCCGAAGTCAAAATAGGCATGGGGTCGGTTCCTGGCCCTACCTCAAGCGCGGGCGTTTGCTGAGGATCTTGATCTCATTTTCGAGCAACAGGACAGCATCGAGGACATCGAGGCTGGCCCATGCAACATGGCGAGGGTCTTCACCTACCCATCCAATCTGGGAGGCTTGAGCAAATAGAGTAGTGTAATTCGGTAAATGTAGCTTTGGGGTTGAGTTTTGGCTTCGGTGTCTTATGGACTCTAAAGCTTCTTGGGTCCAGGGGACCACAGCGGATTTTGCAATATAATCCATCATATATATATATACACATATACATACATACACACATCCATCCATCCATCCATCCATCCATCCATCCATTCATCCATCCATCCATCCATCCATCCATCCATGCGGACAGACGCACAGACCGCCAGACAGACAGACCGACAGCCAGGCAGGCAGACAGACAGAGACATGCACACCCTGCATCACTTCACATTGTCGCATGAGTCCCTCTTTCTTGGACAGGTAATTCGATGCAATTCCTGAAATCCTACGATAGGAGCCCGAAGAATCGCGAGTACTATTCCTCGGCTAAGTTCCTTCGCACAAGAACCTCTAGTATAGAAGCAAAAAAGCCCTCGAAACCATTGAACACCAAACCCCTAAACTCTAAGCCCCTAAATCCCCAAAACCCTCAAACTCCAGCCAAGAACCAAAACTCCAGCTAAACCCGTGAGCCCCAACTAAACGCGTAAACCGTAATCATCCGTCAAAACTTCCGTAATTGTAGTTAAGAGTAGGGTGACCGTGGAATGTCGGATTTTGCCAATTTCTTTGGAAAGCGTTAGGACCCCCCCCAAAAGCGATAAGATTAACGAGGATCATGTGTTTGCATATTTGCGTGCAGCCGCGGCATTTGTGCCTAAATTTGCGTGTGATATATGGCTAGGCAATCGATACCGATACCCAAACGATACCCTACTTGAAGGATCGTCTTGTTTAGTATCCGAATGGGCGGGTTGCGGTGGTTAGTAAAGCCTGCAAGTGAACTTATAATCGGGCTATCTTGACTTATAAGTGTACCATGTTGGGTAAGTGTGTTTTTGAACTTAGTAAGTGAGCGAGGGTGGTTATAAGTAGTTGTTTGAGTTAATAAACACTTAGCACATTTATAAGTGACTTGGGACAAATGCTGTAAGTGGAAGATAAGTACTTGGACACGGTTATGTCGGGTATCTAAGTCATTTATAAGTACTTATATAAGTACCCTAACTTCATCGGGGCAAAGCATTTGCAGGTCGGTGCAGCTGGTGGTTGCCGACGTCGACGGCATCGAAAGGTGCTTCCACCCCCGCTTCTTTGCAAGTGATGAGTTCCGTGTTCCGAGCATGTTTGGCCATGTCGAGACTCCCATCATGAGAGACATGCAGTCATGCTTGCAGCTTTCATGCAGTGTTTGCATGTATGTGTATATACACTTGCAGTCTTTGCATCATGTACATGCAGTGGCATACGATGCCCTGCATGTGTATATAGGAAGCCGTCGTGCAGGGCAAGTTGCTCGCCGGCAGGCTGCCACGACATTCTTGCATGACTTTCAAACTGACAGTTCATATCTGCATGCAGCATCTTGGCTGTGACAGCACTCACTGCACACACACACACGACCGCTTCCGAAACACAGCATGGCTTTGTCTGGTGAGCTCGTTGCGGACATCTCGTTCAAGCTGGCACAGGTGCAAGAGGGCGATCGACTTGTAAAGACGGTGCATGCGGCTATCAGCCAGCTTGAGTCGCAGGGCCAGGTCTACACGATGCAGCTTCAACCGACCATGGTCGGGATCAGTTCCCAGAACCGCGACGGGAGCGGGATTAATCCCGTAGATGTCCACGATCTTCTGGGCGACATAGTTCAAGCCGGCTGGCTTGATGCCAGGGTTCAGGCTATCGCCCATGAGCCAACTGGGCAAGAGGACATCGATTGGAATGTCCGTCTCTTCCAAAGCATGCATGATCGCTGTGGGCCCCTGGAGCCCACGATGATCAAAGCACTCTCCCTGGCAGGGTCACACACAAACTCGGTCTTGCGGTGCTTCCACTATGAGGTCATGCATGAAGGAGACGAGACCGTGTGTCATGATGGAAGACTCAGCATGGAGCTGCTTCGGCGGCACGATCCGGACTTCGCGAGGGCGGTTCGCGAAGGAGTCGTTTGGAAGATCTTGTCAAAGCACGTCGCTGCCCAGCTGCCGCAGCTGTTGGGGCTTGTCCAAAGGATGGGAAACGCCACACTTCACCGTGGCGAACACGAGCTCCAACTGATGAGACGGCTGCATCAGACTTGGGTCCAGATGAGCTCTCAGGGTTCTGTGGACTTCCTGGCACTGAAAAGCAAAGTCACCACGGGGAAGTCCGTGCATGGCAAGTCCATGCCGCATCTTTACAGTTTCGTGTTGAAGACTGCGGGTGGCACAGATCCGTTCTTGCTCAACGAGACTGAAACCTTCGTTAGGTTGCATTCCCCCAGCACACGATCATTGGGACCTGGTTTCTGGGAGAAGGTCAGTGCCGATGTCAAAGGTTCCAACCAATTCCCACGGTTCCGGCATGCCATGGCCACTTGATTCATAAGCATGCATGCATGTACAGGTCACATATGGGATTGCAAGGCCGAGGTTGCTAGTTGTTGTTGTTGTTGCTGGTCTTAGGTGAAGCTTGCATACTGCAAAGAAGCTGTGGGGTCTGCCGAGTGCAAGAAGATGTTGCACAAGGATTCGACGGCCTCTGTCAAGGAGGCAGACACCATCATGAGCACGTGGCGAAAGCTGGTGACGGCCCTGCCGAATGGTGCAGAGCTTCTCATGAAACCCGAAGTGCAGACCTGCTTGTCCTATGGGGACATGTCCTTGGCTGCCTTCACCCTGAATGTGATGTTGCCCGGTGAAGACTTGAAGAAGTATAAGACGAGCCAAGCTCTGGCCCATGACCTCGTCCTGATTTTGGAAGGCATCCTCAAAACAGACCTGCATGGGCCCTGGGCGGCACACAAGGTCGCAGATTCGGGTGAGGCATCGGGTTCCAAACCGGCTGGAGCACCCATGGCCATCATGAGGGAGCTGAGCTCCGACGGCTCGGTGAAAGATTCAGCGCTGATGCTGGCCGAGTCCGGCTTTTCAGTCGGCCAACATGTCCGTCGCAAGGCGGATCAGGAAACTGGCCAGGTGACGGCGATCGAGCTTGGCCGTGTCAAGCTGAAGCAACCCTCGGGGTCCGTAGTGCGGGTGTCGATCGACAGCTTTCTCGCAGGCCACTGGCAGGTCTTCACACCGAAGCCAGAGCCACAGACGATCGATGACTTGTCAGTGTATTCGCCTTTGAACTTCCCCGAATACGAGCGACAGATGCTGTTGGCATGCTTGTACATGGACATGCATGAGCTCATGCAAAAGCACGACACGAATCCCATGCTGCAGAAGCTCAGGGTCACTTTGAAGCCTCGTAAGTCAGTCCAAGCCACGGCATTCATCCCGAAAAACAAGCTCATCATGGTCCCCATGGGTTTGACGATCAAGCACGGTCAGAAGAAGCCCGAGGATGCGATTTTCGATATCATCACCCCCATGAGTGACTACTTCTTCTGGGTTGTTTCGTTCATTCAGATTCCGAAAGCCGAAGGGGATGCTGGCTTCATCAATCCTGCATTCCTTGTGCAGCCGCTTCCCGTGAGTGACACTTGGAATTGTGAGGTTTCGCATGTCAAGTCCAATCGAGACAAGAAGGTTCAACTCCCCATCCTCAAGAACACCCTGGACCTGCAGCAGGACGATGTGCTGTATATGCCAAAGACCGAGAAGACTGTGCACGTCGAGGCCTTGCAGGCTGACACCCCGCCAAGGAAGCGAATCTGCTCCAAGAAGCCGGGAGACTCCTGAAGCCCGAGTGTGATGCATCCCATGCCATTTTGTGTGCAGCTGTCCTAGAGCTCACGGGCACTTCCTCCATTGCTTTGAACCATGCAGCAGCTGTGCTGCCCACCACGATCCATGCACATGAAAGAACATGCACTTGCAGCCTGCAGGAAAGATGCCGGAGCCCGTGTATGTGTGCAAGTGTGCATGACTGCGAGCACGATTGCATGTAAAAGCGCCAAAAGCCATGGCATTCATGATTGCATGTCATTCACGAAGTTTTGCAGCTCCAGCTTCATCCGTGATTTCGTAGCTTTGCCACTTTGCCAGCATGGAGCAGGAAGATGAGGAGATGACCGCACCCACGGTGGTGACAAAACAGATCGTCACATACGGGTCAGGGCTCACTTGGATCCCGGAACAAAAGACGGCCGAGGGAGTCACATGGTTCAAAGTGAGCAAGTGGGATCGAGGATTGTTTCGGTTCGTGTACGGCAAGGGCTTGGATCTGAGGAAGAATACGGACAATCAAAACTTGTCACTCGACACACCTTTCTTCGAGAACATGTTGACCCGTCGCCAAGAAGCATTCAACGAGGCTATCTCCGAAAGACTCAAGGATGAAGAGAATGACGAAGCCCCACAGCCGGAGAAGGCCCAGAAGAAGACCAAGAAAACCAAGGAGTTCAAAGCTACACAAAAGCATGAGATTTATGCACCCCACAGCATTGAGATTCACTTGCCCGGCGAGACCGAGGATGGCAACAAGGTCCAATGCCGAACTTTGTTCGAGGGGGTGGGCACTCGGACTATGTGGCTGGAACTGAAGGACGATGTCGTGAAGCACATCCAGACCAGCTTCAAGCATTCTGAGGCCAAGCCACGAAAGACGATCAAGCCTAGAAAGGCCAAGGCCTACAGGAAGTAGGTTTTCGTCAGCAGGGCAATTTGCTCGTTGGCAGGAACATATATCATGTATGCACATGTCGCATAATTTTCTCTCGCTGGCATGCAGGAACTTCATGTGCCAAATATGCCGGTTGCTGCAAGTGCTTGCTTCCTCGTGGTGCTCGGTTGTGTGCATGTGCAAAGGTCTTCTCATGTATCGGTTGCAACATATTGGCTCAGGCTTTTAGCTTTTTGGGTGTGCAGCTGTAGCCTGTATGACCATGTCGTGCACGGGTTATAGCTGCATGCTCGGCCCTGATGTGGAGGAGGCCTGGTTCCTGTCTCCCATGCAACCAAAAAGATGTGTGTGCTGGTCAGGACTCACCGCAATGGTGGGCCTTCGAAAGGTGCGGCCTCCTGGAGGCATTGATGCCGAACGAGGACAGTTCCCTTATAAGCACCTTTAAAACAAAAAGTGCATCCTTTTTATGCAGGACGGCACATGGAGCAACAGCAAGAGCATCCTCGGCTGGCACAAGCAGAAGAGGAAGTGGAGAGTCCTCGACATGCAAGGCCGGGGATGTGCCATTGTCCCACATTTTCATCGTTTCTTATCTGCAGGCAACCTGATCTACAAGCACGAGGGCCGGGAGGAGACACCCCCGAACGAAGGCATGCAGGTTTTTACAGGGTTGTGTTTTCAAGGGTTTCGGGTTTATGGTTTATATAATATATGGTGTTAGACGGAAAATCACTATATGCACGTATATACATATATATATATATATATATATGTATATGTGTGGGTTTAGGGTTTAGGGTTTATAGGGATCTATATAATGTAGGTGTGCAGCATGTGTACACAGAAAAGGAGCTGAGGTTCCTAACTTTTACATATTTGTGTTTGTACATACATACATACATACATACATACATACCTATGCACACACACACATCTGTATACACATGTAGGTGTGTGTGTATGTATGTATGAATGTATGTATGTATGTGCGAGACATATATATATATATATATGTATATATATATGCCCATACACACACACATATATATATATATATATATACACATACATATATGTTATAAACTATATATACACACTACAGCACAACCACAAAGGCCAAAAGCCTTCAATCAAACATGAAAACCCCCAACCCCGAGCCTATTATGTGCTATCTCAGTCTCGGCAGGTTGGATGTGCCAGGATTGGGAAAACAAGTGGTGCCCTGCTGAGTTCGTGCTCCAGGCCCGGGCCTAGAGCAAAGAAGTGAACTGTGTGTTTCTGTGTTTCGACCTGGTGTGAGGAGATCGATGCACAGGACTACGACATGATGAAGAAGGAAAAGGAGCAGGATCTGCCAAAGGTACTGCACTCAGTGCCCAGGTTGAACGATGAGAGTTGTAGTTGCACTTTCAAAACAACCAGGAAGATGACGGCGAGTTCGAGGAGGTTGTATGTGAGGAGCCCGAGAAGAAGGACAGTGTCGCTGTGTTCGTGGTCTTGCATTTAAAATATACCGACTTCGGGAGGAATGGATGCCTCCTAAGCCGAAGAAGCGGCCGAGGGAGATCCCGGCCAAGGCGAAGATTGCATGTGTGTTGCGGTGTACAGAACATGTTGTGTATGGCAGGCTTGCAAGAAGCCCGCCGAGCCCAAGGAGCCGCCGAAATCCAAGAAGGCCTCTTGTTTTCTGGAGATGGGCGGGGGGGGCCTTGTCATTGCCTGCTTGCCAGGGCAAAATGCCATGGATCCCACCGCCACCCCCGGCTCCAGCCGCCAAGGAGGGGTCTGCCTGCTATAGGACCCATCGGCTTCGTCCTCGAGCACACCGCCGCCTCCGCCTTCGGGGGTCGTGCAGAAGGACGGTGCAGGCTGGAGGGTGGGCGGCTTCTATCACGATGGCGAGAAGTGGAACCCGCCCGGCACTCAAGGAGGACTGCATTCATGTTCATAAAAACAGAAACCAGCAAGCTCTTGGATGAGGCCTGGTGCTGGCCGGACAAGAGCCAGGAGTCGGGGCCAGGGGGCGACGAATCTGGCATGGTCGGTGGTGCCCCAGCATGCACTTAACCCCACACAAACACCCTAAGCCCCAGACGCTACGAGAATGTCTTCTCAGGTCTCGACACAGTCCGAAAGTGTGGCGAGGCTCATCGACCACATGCTGGACAAGGCTTTCGTGACATTACATGTGCACCACCCATGCATGCAGTCACTAGCAGCGAGCACTGCCCTGCTGCTGTGTTTCGGTGGCAGGACAGGCATGGCGGCCACGGCAAGTGAGGCTGCCTGAAATTGGCGCCGGCGGGGCTTGCCTCTGAAAGGGGGTTGGGGAGCCGGTGCCGGTTCCTAAAAAACTGTAGCCTAAGGACTCTGGCAATAGTGGGGCACTGCTGCATAGGCACTGGCTCAGGGCTCTAGAGGCACTCGCAAAGGCTTCGGAGCACAGGCTCACCAACCTTTCCGACCTAGGTCCTCGTGTGCTTTTGCGGTGTCCTAGCTGGCTGCACAGCCCGATGTATGGGATCTGGCCACAGACCGGTTTTTATTGATTGATAAAACCCGGGACCCTGGACCTAGCCCAGATTTATCTATCGATAAAAATTGTAGCCCAACCCCAGCCCAGGATTTATAGATCAATAAAAATGGTAGGCCCAGGCCTTAGAATACACCAACAGATTTATCAATCTATAAATCTCGGTGCCCTGGACCCATCCCAGATTTATCGATCGATAAAAATGGTGATTCCCAGCTGTAGCTCTATTATCTTGTGACCCAAAACCTAAACCCCAACTTAAAATGAAAAAACAACTCCCAAACCGTTGCTCCCAAACCATCAACCCCAAACCCCGAACCCCCAACCATCTGAAACCTTTACCCTGGCAGGCTTCAAAGGGTTTGTGGCAGGGTCTTGGAAACATCGGGGTTGTCCCGGTGCAGATCTGTTCCAGCCCAGCAGGAGAGGGTTTGGCCTAGTGGTCGTGACCTGGGGTTCAGACTTTTCGTGCTTCTGGTTCGTGCACCTGGCGGCCTGGGGGGCTGGGTTTCTGGTTTCACGGGCTTCTGTGTTCAGGAAAATACGATTTGTGCTTGTACATTATCATCTATAGATGTACGAGGGTATTGCTATGCATGTGTAGCCACACTGTGTATATTTGGGGTAGATACATTGTTTTCGGAGGACGAGGGATCGTGGTTTGATACATATGTACACATGTATCAGTGTGTATGTATGTGGGCATGTATGTGTATGTATGTATATATAGGTCTGTATGTGTGATATGTATGTATGTATATCTAGAATATGGGCATTATATACTCCATGTATAGATATGTCTGTGCAGACATATATATATATATATATATATATATTTGTATATGTATATATGTGTACAACCCATGTAGCTGTACACATATATGCATGTGTCTATATTAGGTGTTTCTTATTCTCTTGTGATGTAGAAACTATATGTGACTTTATAGAAGGATTTTCGGACACAGGAAGACGGGCATGTGCATGAGGCACACACACAAACACCGATAGCAGCTTTATATTTCGGGTGCCTGTTGCAACTTCTGCTATACAGGATTGTGCATGCTGCTGCATATTTGGGTTTTCGGACCGCACACTATACTGTAGGAGTGGCTGGGTGTAATCCTGCACCGTTGGCAAGCCATGTACAGCACGGCTCGGGCCTCGCCTGTAGACTACGGGAGCTGGGAATATATACATATATATATATATAGATATTATATATTCTTCTATATACTTCTATATATATATATATATATATATATAGTCACGTATACATATATATATATATATATAAGTATTTTGTTGCTCTCCTCCATAGATATCTAGCTGTCCATATAGCCATATATATATATATATATATTCTTACATCTATTTTAGTATACAGATGCGAGCTCCCATGCCAGGCGCCCTTCTCGAAGTCTCTTGCCTTGTACAGAAAGACTTAGCTGATCACGTGTGAGTTTGAAGGAAAATGCTGGCGACCGCAGAAGTCATAGGGAGGGTCGAGTGCATGTCGCATGCAGTCTGAAGCTTTCTTTGTGTTGCTATGTTCGGTCGATTCCACAGTCTGCCTTCACTGGTGCTTGTGTATATGTAGCATGCTACACTTTAATTGGCACTATGTACCGACAGGGGGCATTCGTTTTGATCCAGCCGGTTGGCACTCTGGAGTGCTCGCATGTGTGCTTCTTTGAAACTGCAGATGACATGGCATGTGTATAGATCACACATTCACACTTCGTCTCGCAGGGCTGTATAGAAGCTCGCAGGCAGGAGCATGCATTGCATGGGTGTTTCCAAAGGGAGCACATGCATGCATGCATGCATGGCATTGTATACATCCATGATGCATTGCCTCCTTCATGGCTGCACGTGCATGCATGGAGTGCTCGAACACTTTTGTGGTATTCCACACTCAGATTTCCGGCATGGCGACTTCGAAAGCCTTGGGCGACCAACTGCTCACCATCTCGTCACTCGCAGAGACCATGACAGACCAGACAACGAAAGACCGGATGATCGAGTCCTGTATGGAGTCTGCCAAGAAGCAGATTTCGGGTCTCCGGCTCACGGATTCAGCAGAAGTCCAGACACTGTTCGCTACGGTGCAGTCCTTGAACTTCAGCGACAGTCAGAAGGACGAGCTGATGCGGCAGATCGGTGATCGTTTCGTGGCATGCAGCACACCCAAATCACAGGGCAGCAAGAAGTGCATGCAGACCATGGACGACCCGGGAAGTTTCCTCCGGGCCTCGGATGTGACCTTCATCTCGAACCCAGACCACACCATTAAGGCCAAGGCAAGCCGGATGGCCATGATGTTTTGCAGCATCAACTGCAGCTGCCCGACGGAGCCTACTTCGGGCCGAGCTGTGGGAGTGCTCAAGAACGACTTTGGCCTCAAGGAACTCGAGGACCCCCAAGTGTTCTACAACACAGTTCAGGATTTCAAAGCAGCCTTGAAGTCGCACTTCAAGTCCAATCC